CTCAAAACTACCTTGCTTATCTCAATTCTTCTCTCATTAAAAAAACAAAAAATCAAAACCAAAACCAAACCAAAACAAACCAAAACAAAACAAAACAACCCAGCTTCTTATGTAGCCCAGTGTGGACTAAACTTATTATGAAGCTGAGGATGAACTTATGACCCTTCTTTCCTCTACTTTCAAAGAGCTGAGATTACAGGTGTGTGTCTCCATACATTACCAATTTCCTTATTAATATATTTTTGCCCCTTTGTTTCCATTCTTGATAGTATTATTTCAAAATATTTTTATAAGTGTTGTCACTTGTGATGAAAATAATTATTTTTGGTTTATAAGATTCTTTTCAGCACAATCTTGTTGTAGTTTGAAAGAAAATGGCCCCCATACGCTCACGGGGAGTGGCACTATTAGGAGGTGTAGCCTTGTTGGAGGAAGTATGTCCCTGGAGGTCTCAGCTTTGAGGCCTCAGATGTTCAAGCCAGACCCAGTACTTCATTCCATTTCTCTGCCTGAGGATCCAGATGTAGAATTCTCAGCTACCACTCCAGCACCATTTCTGCCTGCATGTTTCCTGCCAGGACAATAATGGACTAAACCTTTGAACTGTAAGTCAGTCCCAATTAAATGTTTTCATTTATAAGGGGAAAAAAAGAAATACATTAAAAAACATGAAAAATTTAGATAACATGCTGAAACCTATCTGATATAATGGCCATAAGATAAAAGTGAAATTTATAGTAATTAATTCAAACAATATAAAATTGGAAATATCTCAACCTATCCCTGAATTTCAAGGATCTAGAATACAAGATCAAATCAAACCCAACATTAATAAAAGATAATAAAACAATGCAAAAACACACTAAAAGAGCTGCTTCTTTAGAAAGATAAAGTAATTAATCCTCAGCTAAATTAAGGAAAGAGGATAATAAAATCGGATTTAAAGGGAAGCAATACAGCTGATAAATACAAAAGATCATGACTGTTACATGGCTATATGCCAGAAATGTTAATCCAGAAGAAAGCATTTCCTAGATGCCTGTACGTTCTCAAGACTGAATCATGAAGAAATTGAAAAGACCAATAACAAGAAAGGAGATTGAATCAATCATAAAAAGCTCAACACTACCCAGTTAGTGTCACTGACCTTAGTAGTTCTGCGTCTTGGTCAATGGAGGTAGCATTTTAACTAACATCTATTCATAGAAGTTATCCCAAAAATAGGAGAGGAAGAAATTCTCCCAAACTCATTTCATAAAGCTAGCATTGCTTCATTAAATATCCAGGTAACTATCCCCCTCTCTGCTCTCATTACACAGAGTAACACTCAGATCGATAGCCTTGATATACACAAATGTAAAATCATGAATAAAACTAGGAATCCAAATCCAACCTCACAGTAAAAAGATTATACACTGGGACAATTGGGATCCATCCTGGGGAGGCAATTATAGTTCAACACATGCAAATTAGCAAACACGATGCACCACCACATGAGCATGAAGGACAGATCCATCAATCCTGTCAATCAGTGCCAATAAAGCATCTGATAAAAGTCAAAGCTGTTTCGTGATTAAAATGCTGGACACATTGTGTAAACATAACACAGCATATAAGTATCAATGATAATAACCCAACTGACAAGCTTCCTAAGAAGTGAAATAAGAGTCCCACACTCTCCACTTTCATTTGACAGAGTTATATAGACTGTAGCCAGGGCACTCAGGCAAAAAGTAGAACTAAAGAGTCTCTGAAGTGAAAAGTTGCCCATGTTAAGGAATGATTTGATTTTACTTACAAGAATAAAAAATATATATATTATATATATATATATATATATATATATATATATAGATTGTATTGCTATATGTGTATAGATTCAAGCATTATGCTGGCCTGTCCCTGTCACCCGGCAGAATGCACTCAGGCAGTACCCTGGTCAGATCAAGTATAAAGGATCCCTTTTAAAGAAAGACCTCCACCCACTTTTGCTCTCTTTCCCTCTCTCTTTTTGTTCTCTCTTTCCCTCTCTTTCCTGCTGTTCCCCTGGGACAGACAAGACTTTTTCTGCCCCCCTCTTCTCTTCTATCCTCTCTCTGTCTCTGTGTCTCTTTACTTCTTTTCTCTTTCCTCCCCCTTTCCTTTCTAATAAAAGTTCTCACTTAAGCTCTGTCTGCCTGGCATGTTTGTGGCTCCCCATCCACTTCTGTCACCCTCCCCTGCCATGAGAGATGCCAAGGCTCCACAATATGCCCATAGTGACTTGTAAATAGAAATAAACCAGTCACATGCTTAGGAGGAAACTTAACTACAAGACATTGATGAGAGAAACTAAAGAGGACATAAAAAAGTAAAAAAAAATGTTTTTACTATCCCAATTTAATCCATATAAAAATTCTAATGAATTTTGGAGGCAGAGGCAGGTGGATCTCTATGAGTTCGAGGCCAGCCTGGTCTACAAAGCTTGTTCCAGGACAGCCAGGACTGTTACACCAAGAAATCCTGTCTCAAAAAACAAGCAAACAAAAAATCTAATGATATTGTTCATACAGTTGGGAAAAATAATTTTATATGTAACTATAAACATCTCCAATAGCCAAAATGATCCTGAGTAAACATACCAAAAGTGGAATGATCAAACCAGCAGAGTTTGGGCTTAAAACAGATATGTGAATGACTAGGCAGCCTAGAAGGTATTATGAACATGAATGAGACAAAGGACAGTTCTTTTCACCAAGAGATGCACATGTACTGAATATCTACATGCAGAAGAATAAAACTGGACTCCTCTTTTTCATCAGTTACAAAAATCAAAAGTAGTTTAAAGACTCATAGAAGACATGAAATTATGGGAGGGAAATACCTGAGAACATTGGCAAGGTCAAGGATTTTTGGCACAGACCACCAAAAGTATAGGAAAAAAATCAGAAGTAGATGAATGGGATTTCATCAGATTAAAAGGCGCTTGCACAGCAAAAGAAATAGCTAATGGAGTGAAGAGATATTATATTGAATGGTTGAAAATCTCAGTAGCTATAACACTGAAAGGGCGTTGAAAGCCAGAATAGAAGGTATTACAGAAACATATTAGCAAGGAAGCATATGACCTACTTTATAAATAAGCATCAAATCTAAGTAGACATTTCTCAAAAATGGCCAACATAAATATTGATTACAAATTAAAAATTGCACAAATACATCACTTCCTTGCAGTAGAAGGTATCATTATCAAAAACAATGAAAATAATAAAGGTTGACAAAGGCTTGGAGAAACCTTGCAAACTGCTAGTGTGAATTTAAAATAGTATAGTTATTATAGAAAACAGCATGGAAGTTTCATAAAGAGATAGAGATAGATAGATAGATAGATAGATAGATAGATAGATAGATAGATAGAACTACCATATGACCTGACAATCCAACTACTGAGCATGTATCAGAAAGAAACAAAATCAGTATGTTGGGAGACTTCTTTGCAACACAATATCCACAATATAGAAATAAATGTTTAGGAATTTGTAAGTGGATAAAAAAAACGTGGCATATATATTACTGAGACACTAGTTATACTAGTTGTCACTACAGGAATGAGTCTTGTCATTTGTGACATCTGTGGAACTAGAGATTATATTAAAAGAAATAGGTCAGCTACAGAAAGACAGTGATTAGTCATCTCTCAGAAACTGAGTGGAGACAGTAATGACCAGACACACTGGGAGGGACTCAGTGATGGCTTTTGAGTAATAGTGAGGTAAGAGCGAGAAGTTGTGGTATAGGATTGCATGGGAGGGTGTCTGCAGATAAGAAAGATGGAATTGCATTTTAAAGAGCTAAAAGGAATTTCAGGTTTTACCATAAAGAAATGAGTAATATTGGAGGCGAATATTCTTTACCTGACTTAGACATTATACATTTGTCTATAGACCATAGCGTAGTAGACCATCAACAAGTGTAACTTTATAATTTTATATATCACCCAAAATTAGTAAACATGTATCACTTTGCATAGTTGATAAGCTACAGATTCTAGTTTTCTTAGCTGTGAGACTGACTGGCTGGTGCTGAGGGGTTAAGGACTCTCCTCTGCAGCTTGTCTCTTTTCCTAGGCCCATGGCAACCAGAGCCACTGGCATCTATCTTAGCTAGTACATACTCAGTAAGCTGGCAGACTCACTGACCCTCCCTTCCAAAGTCTATAGAAGTAAGGGATGTCCCTTGTGCTATGGGTGGCTGCTGGGTCTCCTGTCCCAGCTTCTCTTGCAGCAAGTGCTTGGTGTTACTAACAGATATTTCATCTAAACCCACTGAGTGCGCCTCTCTAATCAAACTTGAAAAGAGTCTTTATTATACTATTTAAAACACAAACCTCAATGACGGAGTAGAATCATGTCTGTGAAAGTAGGGATTTTTCTAATGCAAATAATGGTATTTAAGAATGTTGTTAGCATGGGTGTGTGGGAACAGGGATGTTAATAAGTTCATGGTTCTGGGATCTTTATTTGAATCTGATTTTGAAAGCATCTAAAGTTAAGTGGGTTTATTTCTAAGGTACTCTGAAAGAGTCATTGTGTGTTTTGACAAAGCATCAGAGATGAAACAGTTGAGGGTGTGAGAAGAACTTTAGCCCAAGCTTGCTGGAGAGCTCCACAATACTGGGGTAGCAGAGATAACAGCAGGCCAGGTTGATTTTAGTTTGACCTTGAATGACTCACTGTGACCTCAATATAGTGAGGAACGTTTAAGCCATAAACCACATGTGTTATCTTAAAACAGAATTTGTACACACACACACACACACACACACACACACACACACACACACCTGTGTGTTTTTAAAAGGCTTCCATTTTTATTATCTCCTAGGTTGAACTTGGCTTTTGAAATTTACTTTGTTGTAACCAAATACGTTGATTCCTAGATCAGAAAGTTCCCATAATCCTAGATTACATGGGCACAAAATACCACAGATTCACAGTTGAGCACAGGCAGCTGAGACTCACCATCAGGACCTGTAGTGGCTTCTGTGTCGCTGGAAGCTTGGCTTTTTGCAAACCCAGATGGTGCATCCTCACCTTGGGCTGAAGAGAGGAAGACAGAGAGCCCTGGTTAGTAGAGAGTCAGCACAGTGCTGCCACCAATGTGCTCCAGCCTTCCACTGCCCTCTTGAATTTAAAACTACTCTGGGAATTTAACTTCTTCTTCAGAGTAGGTTACAGGAGGAAGTTGCAGGTCAAGGAAGCTTGAATACTTATCATTATCTCCTAAGTTCTCCTTAATTTGTGAGATAATCATATAACTAGTTTGTCAAATTAGGAATCTAGTAGGATAGAAAGAAAGAATATGCTTTAATCAACACAATGTGCTATTTAAATTTAGAGAGAGAAGGAAGGGGAGGTAGCAAGTAAGGGAGGATCAGTTATAATTCTTTTTATTTAGACAGAAGAGGGGAAGATGGGGAATGTAGTGTGTATGTTTATCTTATTGATTGTTAAATACTGTTTGGCCAATGAGACAGCAAGTAGACGAGACTAGGAGTCAAAGAGGATTGGGAAATGTAGTAGAGAAGTGTTGATCCAGGCAGGAAGTGACATAGCGGAGACTCATATTTAAGCGAAGGAGAAACAGGAAGAGTCCCTTTTTCCCTTTTTCCCCTTTTCCCGTTTGCCTCCTCCAGCAGCAGGATGTGAGCCACCGGCAAGGAGGGATGCCAATAAGGCGTCCAATAAGATAAGTCTTATAAAATATATAGATTTATGATAATTGGGACTGAGCTAACAGATGAGGAATCCTAGTCATTGGCCAAGCAGCTTTGAACCTAATACAAGTTTCTGTGTATTTATTTGGGCCTAACTCGGGTGGGCAGCTGGTGTAAAGCTCACATGTGGCGGTGGGGCTCAGTGGCTTTTGGAGGAAAGATTTATCGTTCGTAACGAGAGAGGAGAGAGAGAGAGAGAGAGAGAGAGAGAGAGAGAGAGAGAGAGAGAGAGACAAATGAAGGAATTAAGGCCTGATCTTGCCTTAGGCATGCCTGAAAGCTGAAAGGTCCCTTCTCCTCACAGGAAGGGTTTCTTGTTAAACTACAGTAGGGTAACACAGCTGCCTCCCCAGGAGACCTTCTGAGACACACAGGGAGTGAATACTGGATTGCTGAGTCTCTAGCTTGCTGCTGGCTTGTGTTGTAACCTGCTTTCTATATGACCCTCAGCAAGAAGTTCATCCATTTACTGTTCAAGTTATAAAACAGCCCCACCCCCACCAGAAAAACAAATACCCCAAAACCTTAAGGTTCCTCAGGGTAGCCCTGGCTGTCCAGGAACTCGCTCTGTAAACAAGGCTAGCCTCCAATGCAGAGCTTCTCCTACTTCTGCCTCCCTCGTGCTTCCATTAAAGGTGTGGGTCACCACACTCAGCTTATACAACACTAAGTGGTTCTGGGAGAGGTCTTTCTCATTTCTAGATATTCAGGAGGATGATAATCTCTCAAATCTTAAATACCCAATATGTTTTCCCAACATGAATGCCCTTGCTGGGAATTTACAAATACAAATACTTGAAGATTTCATTTCTGTACTTTTGAAAGAGAAGGTGAAATCATTTGACAGGACAGCCTAAGAGGAGGAGATGTTAAATTTGGTGTGCCAAATGGGGATAAAGAAAGAGGGGGCAGCTCCAATTTATAGTCTTCCAGAGGGAAAGACTTGCAGGTGGAGTCTGTACTTCTGGCAACCATTTACTGATATTGATAGTCAAGAAATATGACTTAGTGTATCTGGTTTTATGTTGAAGTCTTTGATCCACTTGGACTGGGGTTTTGTGCAGAGTGATAGATATAGATCTATTTGCATACTTCTACATGCTGACATCCAATTAGACAAGAACCATTTGTTGAAGATGCTTTCTTTTTCTATTGTATATATCTGGCTTAAATCAGATGTCCATAGAATTACATCCATTTGGTTCCATTGATCTACTATCTGTTTTTATGCTGATACCATGCAGTTTTTTTTTTTTTTTTGTTTTTTTTTTTTTACTTTAGCTCTACAGTAGAGCTTGGAATCAGGAATGGTGATACCTCCACAAGTTCTTTTATTGTACAGGATTGTTTTAGCTATCCTGAGTTTTTGTTTTTCCATGTAAAGTTGAGTATTGTTCTTTCAAGTTCTGTAAAGAATTGTGTTGGAATTTTGATGGGAATTGCATTAAGTCTGTAGATTGCTTGGTAAGATGGCCATTTTACTATGTTAATCCTACAGATCCATGAGCATGGGAGATCTTTTTACTCTGATATCTTCTTTCATTTCTTTTTCAAAGACTTGAAGTTCTTGCCATATAGGTCTTTCACTTACTTACTTAAAGTTACAGCAATATATTCTGTTTGTGAATATTTTATTGAGTATTTTTGCATCAATGTTCATGAGGGAAATTGGTCTGTATTTCTGTATCTTTTTTGAGTCTTTGTGTAGTTTGGGTATCAGAGTAACTGTGGCCTTATAAAGTGAATTTGTCAATGTTTCTTCTTTTTCTTATTTGTGAAATAATTTGAAGAGTATTGATATTAGCTCTTCTTTGAAAGTCTGGTGGAATCCTGTGCTAAAACCATCTGGCCCTGGGCTTTCTATTTCCTTAGGGGCTATAGGTCTATTTAAATTGTTTGTCTGACCTTGATTTAACTTTGGTAAGTGGTTACCAAAAGAACTGAGGAAGTTCTCCATTTCTTTTAGATTTTCCAATTTTGTGGAGTACAGGTTTTTGAAGTATGACCATCATTAGGTCTTTGCTTTCTGAACCTGATAGAAGAGAAAATTGGGAATAGCCTTGAACAGAACACATTGAACTGGAGACAACTTCCTGAACAGAACACCAATTGCACAGACACTAAGATCAACAATTAATAAATAGGAGCCTTTAATATCATGAAACTGAAAATCTTCAGAAACGAAAAGGGTGCTGTCAAAAGAACAAAACAGCAGCCTATGGAATGTCAAAAGATCTTTACCAACTTCATGTCTGACAGAGGGCTGATTTCCAAAATATATAAAGAACTCAAGAAACTAGACATTAACAAACCAAATGATCCAATTAAAAAAATGGGGTACAGATCTAAACAGAATTCTCAACAGAGGAATCTCAAATGGACAAGAAACACTTAAAGAAATGTTCAACATCCTTAGCCACCAGGGAAATGCAAATCAAAATGATTCAGATTTCTTCTTATAACTGTCAGAATAGCTAAGATGAAAAGCAACAGTGACAGCTCATGTTGGAGAAGATGTGGAGTAAGGAAAACACTCCTCTATTGCTGGTGGGAATGCAAATTTGTACAGTCACTTTGGAAATAAATATGGCAGTTTCTCAGAAAATTGGGAATTGATCTACTTCAAGACCCAGCTATACCACTCCTGGGCATATACCTAGAGGACACTCCATATAACAAGGACACTTGCTTAACTACATTCATAGCAGCTTTATTTGTAATAACCAGAAACTGGAAACAACCTAATGTTTCTTAACAAATAATGGATAAAGAAAATGTGGTCTATTTACATAATGGAGTATTATTCAGCTGTTAAAAACAATGGCAACGTGAAATTTCCCAGAAAATTCATGGAACTAGAAAATACCATCTTGAATGAGGTAACTCAGACCCAGAAAGACAAATATGGTATGTGTGGATATTGGTGTTTAGTAAATGATAATCAAGCTATAATCCACAAACCCAGAGAGGCTAGATAACAAAGGGGGGCTTAAGAAGAGAGACATGAATCTCACTGTCAAAGGGAAAATAGAACAGACATCACAGGTGAATGGGGGGCGTCTGGAAGGCGTGGGGTAGGATGGGAATTGGAGGAATCAGGTTGGGGGAGGATGGAGGGAGAGAATTACTGGGAAAGACAACTGGAATCAGGGGCATCTCTGGGATGAGTTAGAATATTGTACAATGGACACTCCCAGGAATCTATGAGACTGACCCTAGCTACGACTCCTAGCAATGATATGAAGCCTGAACGGGCCATCTCTTGTAATACTTCCAATGGAGGGACTGGGACCCCAGCCTAGTCATATAACCTTTGACCTATAATTTGCCCTGATTACAAGATATGCTGAGGTAAAGGTTGCACAGAAATTATGGGAGTGGCCAACTCATGACCCATATCATGAGAAGGAGCCCACTTCTGACATTGCCTGGAGAGCTAGGACACAGAAGCTGGGCAGCCCAGAGACCTAGGATAGAAGCAAACAAACATGAATGGAGATAAATAAATTAATAAATGTCAGTGAAATGATTCCTAAGGATATTCTGAATGTCGTATATTGTTGCCTAGCCCAATTGTCATCAGAGAGGCTTCACCCAGCAACTGATGGAAACAGATGCAGAGACCCACAGACAAACATCAGTACATCAGGGCATCCTGTTGAAGAGAGGTAAGAAGGAATGTGGGTGTCAGAGGGGCCAAGATAACAAGAAAACTCACAGAATCAACTCACCTGGACTCATAGGGCCTCACAGAGACAGAACCTACAACCAGCGAACTTGCATGGGACCCACCTAGGTCCTTTCCATATATGTGACAGTTGTGTAGTTTAGTCTTCTTGTGGGACTCCTAACAGTGGGAGCAGGGGCTGTCTCTGACTCTGTTACCTATTTTCAGGACCATTTCCATCTACTGGGTTGCCTTGTCCAGCCTTAATAGGAGAGGAGGTGCCTAGTCTTACTGCAACTTGATATGTTATGGCTGGTTGGCATACATGGGAGGCCTGCCTCTTTCTGAAGGGAGAGGAGGAGGAGTAGATTGGGGGGTGAACTGGGCGGAGAAGAGGTAGGAAGGAGAAACTGTCATCAGGCTGGAAAAAATACTAATTTTAAAAATGAAACATGATTGAGCATGTATCCTGGGTGCTTGGTGGTAGGGAGGTCAGAATTTGACGTAAATACAAATGGAGTCAGGGAAGAGGAAGAAAACCATTTTAAGATTTGAGGTATGAGTTGAGGCTCATTTAATTGAAATGCTGAACAGGCTTTTGTATTGGGTGTAGGAAGAGGAGTGTGAAATACACAGGAGGAATCAGAAAGATGTCA